TCCTCGCCCCTTCTCGTCGCCGCGGCCTTTGTTTAGCGCGGTGCCCCGCCTGCATGTCCAGTCATGTCAGCTTCCACCCCCGTCCTTCCTGCCGTTACCGCCCCGCTGTCTTCCATTTCCCCCACGCTTCCTCCCCCGCCCCCCCTCCCGGTTATCCTCCGCCCGGCCGACTCTCCTGGGCTCCCGTGGCCCTTTAGCGTCTGGTTTTCAGAGAGGATTTATTCCTTGGCCCTTCTGGATATGGAACTTCCTCTCCCTGCTGTGGCCTGGAGAGAAGGGGCCATCAGTACTGGGTCGTGGAGTTGCCTGGGCGTGAGGACAGGCACTTCTTCCTGGCAGCGTGTCGGCTGACTGCTCGCCCCTCCCCTGTCTGCTGAGGGGGGTCCGTTGGGGGGGGGCGCCCCGTGTTCCGTTTGGGTTGGAGCCCATCACTGACAGCTGTCTTGCTTTTGTGGCGCGTAGGTCGGCACCGCCGCGAGGGGACAGCGATGACGGAAGCCCAAGTGGCACAAATGCAGAAACGCCCTCTGGTGACGACTTCAGGTAAAAACAGCTTGGCCGTCGCTCATGCCTGTGCGTGAATCCTCGAGGTGTCCGTGGGGACCCACCCTGTCTCCACTCAGCTGTCCCCGAGTCCAACCATCAAGCCCACCTGTGTCCTCGGAACCTCACTTTGATTTCCGCATTGGCTCATGCATTCAAGGCTGGGACAGAGCCAAATACCGATAGTGCCCAAGGTGGTTAGCCAGAGACGCGTATTCTGAGTTTCTTGAAAGGAACTCCAGTAAATAGTCAACATCGTATGGGTACCAAAACATTTAAAATCCTCCTTTTTTACCCTTAGCATACCCCCTTTCATAGCGCCTCTGCTGCACACTAAAACTTAAACCCCAGGACAGGAGGGATTGCTCTCTTTTGTTCATTTAATACATATTTATTAAGTGAATGAATGAATGAACCTTAACACTTGATGCAAAGTAGAGATACCCTGTGATAAGTTTATGATTGAAATGATATGATATGATGCCAGAGACTTGCTTCAAAATAAATCTGGAAGATGGAAGGGTACAGACAAGCATGGGGGTACAGATGACACAAAATTGGCCATGCCTGGCTGGTGTGGTTCAGTGGTTGAGCGTTGACCCATGAACCAAGAGGTCCCCAGTTCGATTCCAGGTCAGAGCACATGCCTAGACCGCAGGGGGGTGTGCAGGAGGCAGCCAATGGATGTGTTTCTCTCATCAATGTTTTTATCTCTCTATCCCTCTGCCTCTCTCTCTAAAAAAAAAAAAAAAAAATTGGCCATAAGCTGATAATTGTTAAAACTGGGTGGTGGGTATATGTGAGTTCATTATACTGTTCTCCCTACTTTGTATATGTATTTTCCATAATATAAAACAAAGAACTTTGAGAAGTATGGGGTTCATATTATCTGTTGGGAAGTTTGGTGATATAAGACCTTTTCTTCCTGCATCTTCAAATTATAGACTTTATGTTCTAACCTAAACCAAACTAAAATTTTTATTTTTAGCTCCCGAGTGATTGCTAAGCTAGAGTGTTTATTCATGGGTAAGAGGTAGATGGAGGATTGAGGAAAAAAGAGGAGGCGTGAAATAGTGACCTAGGGAGTAGAAAAATGAATGAGTGAGCCAGGAAATGTAGTTAGAGCTGGGCCCACTTGAGGCTAGTGATCATTACTTTTGTTTTGTCCAACTAGATTCCACTGCATAGATGCATGTGCAGAGTAAATAGAGAGCTGGACTATCAGGGCTGAAGTTTTGCTAAGCAAGTACAGTGAGATGAAAATAAAGGGTTGAATGAGACTTGTGCGCAGGGGTCTGATTATAATGACTGGCCATGGACAGGGAAGTGAGATAAGAAACTTGAGGGACTATGGAATAAAGGTAAGGCTAGTGGACTGGGGGGTCCCAATGGAGTCATCACACTAGACAGAATGAGGTGAAAAGATAGTATAATTTTAAACTCTTTGATGAGGTAGCTCATACTTGGTGACACGCACTCCTATCAGCCTCACTAGTAGTCAGAAAGTTTTTTCAAGTCCTTAAAGGGACTCTGGCTTTTAGTACTAATCTGTCTGACTTGCGGGGTGTGAATGCAGTAGGCCACTGATAAGCACTGTGTGTCTTTCATTTGTCAAGCCTCTCCCTGGCGGACACTAATCTACCATCTGAAGTGGAGCCAGAGCTGCGCAGTTTCATTGCTAAGCGTCTTTCTAAGGGAGCCGTCTTTGAAGGGCTGGGTAATGTTGCATCTGTGGAGCTGAGGTAAGTGTAAAATGTGCTGTGTCCCGAGTTTTTATTTCTGAGCTAAATATGAGAAGTGATGAGAAACTCTGAAAGATCAACTCCCACTCAACCTGCAAAATCCATCCTTGTTCTCTGCCTGCTTGAGCACTGGGCCTTACACGTAAACATTTGTGGGATGGAATTAATTGAACAGCAGAGACTTTCCCGCCGAAGTGTACTGATTTAGTCTTGGACTTGGGAGAAAAGAGTTAATCACCAAAATTGCACACTGCACAGTTTGTGAAGTACTTTCACAAAGTATGATGCCATTGTCTCTAAAAAGGGGCAATAGAACAGATACCCTCACTTACGTTTTCAGATGAGGAAATAAATTCAGAGACGTTCATATCACAAGGCTGGTCACATTCATGGCGTTCAGGCTTAAATATAGGTGTCCTCAGGTGAATTCCAGCCGTCTTTCTATTACACACCTTGATTGTAGTTCACTTCAGACCATGATGTTGGCATCAAGTCCCCTCAGGAATGTGAGGTCATAGGTCAAAGGTAAGGCCACAGGGTAAACATGTCACATCTGCCTGGAGCTCCAGTGATTGGTGAAGGTTTCGGGGAGGGAGAGAACATGCTAATATTTATGTAGACATGTACTATGAACGAGAGTGAAACTTACATGCATTTCCCCCATAAAACAGGTGAATTCAAAGAAATTCCATGTTTGTTAGGTGCTGCTTTAGCTGAAACCCATTATGGTATACATTCATTTTCCTCTGCTGTTATGAGTAAACCAAGGAGAAGTCTTGAAAGTTCTGACCTAGTTAGCAATATAACAGTATTGCCAGATCAAGATGACCAGGTTCAGAACAGCCCATAAATTAGATGCATGAGTTATCAGAATAATACATAGAACTTTTTTCTTTCTTTTCTAGAATTCCAGGTTACCGGGTCGGTTGTTACTACTGCCTTTTCCAGCAAGAAAAACTGCTTCCTGAAACAGCAATGGACTCTGAACATAACCCTTCAGAGTACGTGGTCTGTTTTTTAGGAGGGTCTGAAAAAGGACTTGAGCTATATCCTTTCTTTGGTCTTTGAGCTAGAGGAAATCGTGGGGAGGCAAGAAAAGGGGTCTCACTACTCTAAAAGGCTTTCCTACCCCTTATATTTACTTGGATTTCATACTTTTATATGACCAGTTTGTCTTGGCTTGTTTTAATGTACAGTTTGTGTTATTTGCAAGACTTTATATTTCTTATTGAGAGATAAAACACTTCTTGATTCATCCATTGTTACTTCCTTAAGAACATACTTTCAGGCTTGAATTGGACAAGTACATTCAAGGGCTGAAAAATAACATGAGCTGTGAGGTAAGGTGATTGAGTCAATAGTTTTTTTGAGACTGAGGTGATTAACATACTATAACTTCTATACTTGTCAAATTATATAGGTAGACACAATGACACCTAAAAATGCGCTGCTTGGAGAGCTAGTTGAAAGGTATTTGTTAAGGGAAGCAGGGAACATAGTCCTGTAAGTGCTGTAAGTTTCACAAGTCTGCTTCTGATGTTTTGTATCCATGAAAAATTCAGTCCATTAAATTCAATGGTATATGGTGACATGCCAAGTGAGGAAGAGGGTGCTCTTCTCCTGATTTCTAGGCACATAAGATTTATACTAGTATTATGGTCAGAACTAATGGTCCATGAAGCCTCTGGCACCAGAGACGTGCTTTGCAATGGTAGCAACTGTCCTTGAACTCAACATCAAAGATTTTTAGAAATGTTCTATTTTTCATTCATTGATCTTTTATGAATTATATATATCCACATCTATTAATTTATTTATACCTTTTAAAAAACTATCCATTCAGCTTGTAGCAGTTTTTAAAGTCATAACTCTTATAAATTCACTACCCATTACATAAGGTAATATCTCCTTTTACTTATCCTGCACTTAAAAGACACTGCAGAAAAGGGTAGCATAGGAGTGAGCCAGGGATTTGAGTCTGGGGGAGCTGCTCTCCGACTGGAGCGATTCCTCTAGTCCCCAGAGAGCAGCTCAGCCCAGGAAGCCAGAGGTGCGCTTGGCAGCACGTCTGACAAATGGAGTGGGATCGAGTGTTTTGACAAGTTAACTTGTATTCTTCCCTATTCACAGTGTGAATGAACTGCCTACATTCTTTCAGGCATTCAAGTGGCTCTTTGTAAGCTAATACATACATGTGTCAGACACTGTACCAGGATTGTTAGGAGCGTATCTCCAATGAGTATACTGTGGGGAGATGGACATGTAATGCACAACTCCTCCCAGTGAAGAGATAGCATAGAGCCCTATCCAGTCTTTCATTTTTTTTTTCAGT